CCTCAGGTAGTCACCGTAGCCGAGTGGTCTAGGGTGCGGACTTCCAAGGCAAAGGTCCGCGGTTCGAAACTCGGTCAGGGCTTCGAAATTTCGTGGGTTCACGAGTACCCGCTGTAACCTTAGTAACGGGCAGACATCTTCTATATTGCATTCGTATATTTTTTGAACACTTTTTGGAAAGAAAATGTGTGGTATCTGTAACTAGACATCTGGTAAATTTTACTAGAATTTGTGTTACTAGCCTGCCTGGTATCTTTTACTAGATTCCTAGTTGGTTCCTATTTTACTAGACTGTCTGGTACCTGGTACTAAGATCCTAGTAACTGCTACTAGTATTTTTTTTCAGTGTTACTGTTAATTTCCTCTCATTTTGAATCGTTTTAACCCTCACAGAAGGTGAAATGACACGCGAAAAACATATTTTAAACGCACAATGCCCAAAAAGCAGTTTGCACCCTACATACCCCACAAAATTGAATTTTTGGAATTTCTTTCCGTTTTCTCCAGTCACAGACATTTCCTATTCCAATCAGTTTCTCATTCCAGTCAGTCCAATCAATTTCCAATCAATCTCTAATCACTTGACTCCAGTCAGTGTACACCTACTTGTGGAGTGAGGTACCCTTCGAGTGAAATTCACTATCGCTCAACCAAAACTTATTACCTATTTCCATCACCATCGTAAAAAAAAAAAAAAAGTTTCGTCCTGGGCAATGAAATTTTCCCCCTTAGACTAAAAGTTTGGATGCATTCTAAACTGTTTCGCTTAAGAGACAACACTTTGGTCGCTGAGCTTTAAAAATGTAATGCCACCTCCAAAATTTCCAAGCTCATTTCGTCTTCTGACCGCATAAGCTAACGATCAGTTCGGCGTACGCTCAGTTGGACTAACGTGTATGAAGAGTAATTCTAAGTCAAACCAACGTCTAAACATCAAAATGCTAAAAAAAATATTTAAAAAAATCGACGCTGTGCCGGACCGAAAAATTTATCAGTACATTTGAGAAACGTGCCATCTGCCGTGTGTGGGATCTGGCCCGTCGAGACACTCCTGCTGGCCAGAGTCGCCTCGGCAGCCCGACGTGCCGTGGGGTGCGATAAGTTGCCTACTCACAGGGCGTCCCTCCTTACTCACCCTTAGGCTTCGGATCCCCTGCCAGGCGGAAGGACACGGTGATGTCTTCACCGTGGGCCACGGTGATGAGGGTGTCTGGTCGGGATAGGAAGATGGCCGGGTCGCCGTGGGCGCCCCCGCTGCCGTGCGTGACGACGTCCACCTTGGCCGAGGTATCCGCTGATCCGTGGGGGTTGACCGCCCGAACCGTGTACTGTCCAGCGTCCTTTGCGGTTGCTCCAGACACCATCAGTGTGTGAACGGACCCTAAATCAGAAACCACTTTACTTCCCTGTAAGCGCTTTGTGTGTGCAATAAATTTCACTGACGCTAAATACTTGAAACCTACCGTCCTCGAGTAATCTGTATCGAGGCGAACTTCTTGGCAGTGGATCGCTTCCGAGAAGCCACTCTAGACGCGGTCGTGGGTAACCTAAGAGACAATATCTTGTTTTTACCTCACTTCGGTTACCGCAGAACTACGTTACAATCGAGTGACTTACCCGTCACCTGCACCTGGAGAGCAAGTGTACCGCCTACGGGCACTTGACTGTCGACCAGTGAACTGGCGAACCTGGGCAGTCGGTTGTCCCGGATGTATGTTGACGAGCCAGGCACAGGAGATCGCGTCTGACTTTCATACTTATCTTTACCTAAAAGTGGAAAAGAATTGAGGATTCAGAGATGCATTATAATTTCGCCCAGGAAAGAAACTAAATTAATATCACAATGAACCAAAATTCAGTAATTGTTTTTTCGTACCTGTATAATTGATGGTGTGTGCCACGTGGTCTGTGGATACGAGATTGGCGGCCCTGCACGTGTAGCGGCCACTGTCCGAGGCCGGATCAGGTCCACGTATTATGAGCCTGCAGGTACCGTCAGAGAGCTGTTGCTGTTCGTAGCGGTCCGACACGCGGAGTGGTGACCCATTGAGCAGCCACGTTACTCGTGGCATAGGGTGGGCGCTCACGCGAGTCTCGAGCGTTAGCTCATCCACTGACGGACGGTACCACTCTGTGAGGGCAAACCGATTCGTTAGCATTAGGGAATTGGAACGGGGAGGGTCATACTGCTAACACACTTAAAATTTCCGTGTTGCCCGTCCTTGTTTTGCCAGCAAAGGTATTTACTTAAGTATTGTACCAGGTGACTGATTATCCCGCACACTTTTGAACTATGCAACCCGCCAGCACGGCTCCATCCGGGACTGCATACCCACCAGGCGCTGGGGACCGTCTCCAAGCGCCAGCGCGTCGCTCCGCCACTGTTGTTGCAGCCACCACCCTGGGGCGTTACAAAGGGGTTGTTCGTGGTTTTCCGGGGGTTCCCGCGAGGCTGCGTGGGTATCTCGACGACCCGCGTGGGTATCTTGAGGACCGGCGGGGGTAACTCGAGGACCCGCGAGGGTAGCACGTGGGTCCGTGGGCGAAACTCGCGGTCCGTGACTGCCGTCAGCTACCACCGCGGACCCGCGTGCTACCCTCGCGGACCCGCAAGCTACCCCCGCGCACCCGCGAGTCACCCCCGCGGACTCGCGGGGACCCTCTTGAAACCGTGAACAACCCCTTAGCAACGCTGCAACAACAGTGGCGGAGCGACGCGCTGGCGCTTGGAGCCGGTCCACAGCGCCTGGTGGGTATGCAGTCCCGGATGGAGCCGTGCGGGCGGGTTGCATAGTACAAAAGTGTGCGGGGTTGATCAGCGACTTGGTATGTTCGGGTATTTAGCGTAGTTTTGTGCCGGTGTGACCTGTCGGCATTCATTCTTCTGACCTACCTGATATCTGCCGTATAAACATGGGTGGCCGGGGTGCTGGGCTGCTGTCACCGAACACGGTGAGTGTGCAGCTGGTTGTGGCCTCGCCGTTCTTATCCCGCACCGAACACGAGTAAACCCCTGAGTCAGATACTTCGACGGTGGGAATCTCTAAAGTGCACAAGCCGTCTACCTCTTTGGTAACCACGCTGCAATCAGAAAACATAAAAATAACACCTTGCACGCCAGGCTTGAGAACCACGTGCTAATATCAATACTTACTTAGGTTGCGAGAACAGGGGGAAGCCGTCCTTGCACCACGTAACTCTTAGGTCAGGCGCACCGAGTACGCTGCAGGCCAGTCGGACTCGCGTTCCCTTCGAAACGGCCCGATCCGACAAGCGCGCGCAGAATGTGGGTCGAAGTCGTCGCTCCTGAAACAAGTTTGGGAAAATCAAACATATTTAGTGTCATGATGCGCGTTGTTTATTCGAGAGAAAAGTAAAACCAGCCAGTACCATTGCCCTGGACCGCCTCTCGTAGCCGTATGAATCAGCCGTGTGGAGGTCCTCGTAGCTGAGTCGGGAGTAACGCCCAGTCGTCGCTGACGAACTCCTGCCGCCGCGCATCGGAGATGGGGTCACAGACCTGGCTAGGGTGCGACTCTCCTCGTACAAGTACGAGGTGCTGGTCCTCCAGCGATCGCTCAACCCTCCTCGTAACGGAGATGGCGTGACGGACCTCGCTAGTCGTCGGCCTTCCTCGTACAGGTGCGCTGTGCCAAGCCTTAGGTCTTCTAGCGCCCGCTCAGTGCTCCTGCCCCGGCGGTCTAGCGCGGATGTAGACGACCACGTTGATCTGCTGAGCCCGAGGTAGGATGAGCCGATATCTGGTCGTCGAATCGGTGTGAAGCTGTAATAGTCCGGGGTTTTGCTGCGCCCCTTGCCGTACGGCATATCGTCGCGCGGTGGCCGGTACAGGTAGGACGAGGAGGATCTACTCCTACCGCGGCCAACATCGAACTCGTCTGTGCTCGATCTCAAGCTCGAAATAGTATCAGTAGTTCTGGTTCTGGTCATTGTATATCTTGGGGTGGAGAGTGATGTACTAATAGATGCCCTTAGTTTGCCTACGGTGCTGTCGTCACTTATGCCCCAAGCATGTTGACTTCTACGATCAGCTTCCTCCTTCATTAACCTGCTTGAAAGCTCATCAACACGTTTTTTGTCCTCTTGAATGCGTTTTTGCCGTTCCTCTAGTTGATCCATATCCCTACGGAACTTTTCTGCGTCTTCTTGGCGCTGTTTTCGCCTTCTGGCTGCATCCTCTTCGTATCGGGCAGACGAACGGCGCTCACTGTCTTCTTCCAGGTTCTTGCGGCTTCTTTGTAGCATGTTGGAAGTGAAGTCAACTCTGCGTGCTATGTCTTCTTCCATTGCAGCCCTAACGTCGCGTTGCGCTCTGTTCCCGTAATCACATGCAGCAACCGAAGTTTCACCAAGACTTCTTTTCAGTGCACTCTGAGTATCTAATCCATCAATGTTTGCTTGAATATCTGTAGCCCTCTTTCTATGAGACTCCAAAGAAGACGACTCTTCTACTGCCTTCTTTTGAGCCTCCAGTTTCCCAGCGTCCTCTTTCTGCGGCGTTTTCTTGTCTGTTGCTTCCTTTTGTATCTTAAGCTTTTCCTCCTCAGCCTTGGCCTCATCTTCGGACTTCTTTTTCTTTCGTGCATCCAATTGAGTCGCCTCATCTTGTTTCTTGTCAGCTGCGTCCTTTCCTTTCTTTAGCTTCGATTCCTTGGCCTTCTCTTCCGCCCTTTCTTTCTTTTGTGCTTCTAACTTCGCAGCCTCCTCCTCCCTTTTCGTCTTTTCAGCTGCTTCCAGTTCTTTCCTTTGCTTTTCCCCATCGGCCTTGGCTTTCTCCTCTGTCTCCTGCTTCTTCTTTGCTTCTAGCTTTGTGGCTTCCTCTTCTTTTTTCTTCTTTTCTGCTGCTTCCTTTTCTTTCTTTAGACTTTCCTCCTCGATCTTGGTCTTCTCGTCAGCCTCTTGTTTTTTCTGTGCTTCTACCTTTGCGGCCTCTTCTTCCTTTTTCCTTTTTTCTGTTGCTTCCCGCTCTTTCTTTAGCCTCTCTTCTTCGGCCTTGGCCTCATCCTCGGCCTTCTGTTTTTTCTGTGCTTCTAGCTGAGCGGCCTCCTCTTCCTTTTTCTTCTTTTCAGCTGCTTCCTTTTCTTTTTTTAGATTTTCCTCCTCGATCTTGGCTTTCTCGTCAGCCTCTTGTTTTTTCTGTGCTTCTAGCTTTGCGGCCTCTTCCTTTTTCTTCTTTTCTGCTGTTTCCTGTTCTTTTTTTATCTTTTCCTCCTTGGCCTTCTCTTCAGCCTTCTGTTTTTTCTGTGCTTCTAGCTGTGTGGCCTCCTCTTCCTTTTTCTTCTTTTCTGC